AGCGCTGACTACAGGAAGCCCGAGGCAGAGTTGCTCTGCCCCGGGCTTCCTGGAATCTGCTGCTGATCAGTTTCAGCAGCAGCTGACTTGGGGACGCTTGGGGTTCTTAAGTTGAATCTGTATGTAAGTCAGAACTAGTGGTCAGTTTCGGCAGCGGCTGAATCTGGACGCCAGTTCCGACTTACATACAGATTCAACTTAAGAACAGACCTACAGTCCCTATCTTGTACGTAACCCGGGGACTGCCTGTACTCATTTTTTAAAGTTACAAACTAACACAGCTACCCCTATGAGACAGTGGGGTTCTTAAGTTGAATCTGTATGTAAGTCAGAACTAGTGGTCAGTTTCGGCAGCGGCTGAATCTGGACGCCAGTTCCGACTTACATACAGATTCAACTTAAGAACAGACCTACAGTCCCTATCTTGTACGTAACCCGGGGACTGCCTGTACTCATTTTTTAAAGTTACAAACTAACACAGCTACCCCTATGAGACAGAATAACTTTTGGAAGCAGAAAAAAATAATTCCACAAAAAGAAGAAATATCAGCTTCATGAGTCATATTCAGCAGTTTTTTTCAGTGCCTAAAGCTTAGTCTACACTGGGAATTTAGGTCAGACTTACTCACATTAGGTTGATTTTCTAAATAATGAGTCTACACCAAACCTGTTCTGTTGATTTTAAGAGCCATTAAAGTGGATTTCAGTATTCCTGCTTTTCACAAGGAGTAAAGGTAAATTTGACCTTGCATGGTCGACTTTAGGGTAATGTAGACTCAGTACTATGAAGGTCGACATTCTGGGACTCCGGGAGGTATCCCATGGTGCTCCACTGTGACGGCTCTGGCCAGGAATTTCAACTCTGCAGCTCTCCAGGTTCTTAGGAAAAGCTCTGGGAAATCTGAATTTCATTTCCTGGGTATCCAGCACGGCAAGCAGACCACAGAGCAGGCAGCACAACTGACCATAAATGTCCAGATTTGCAAATGAGCACCAGCATGGAACATGTCACAGTATCTTCATCATTGTTATTTTTAGACTGAGTGCCAACTGTGTACTTGGCATGGTATAGAACTTTGCTTCCCTTTGTGTTCCTATCCCAGGACATTTATCAGAGATATGAATCAGAATAGGGATTTTTAAACTTTTGTATAATATAGACCACACCTTAGCAAAGCATGGATTTTTTGTGCAACATCCCTTCAGCAACTGCTCATAGAAAAAAAATTAAAATAGTTTAAAAATAACTAGTTTCCCAATGTTACTTTTTTCTAAGTCATGCTATCTGAACTTGCTTTTCATTTAATCTCGTTGTCATGCCATCTGTTCCAATTCTCATTCTCCTCCTGAGTCAGACTTCTCAGAAATTAGGTTACCTTCTTCTTTTCTCACTCTGTGTAACATCTTGTCACCCTCTCTCATGAGAATATTGCCTGGTTCCAGTCTACCTGAATCCTATTTATCAGCTTACAGGTCTCCTACTTCCTTCAGTTCCACTCCTACTGGAGATTCTGGTCCTGAAAGCAGCTGTAATTTCCTCTCCTCTTCTTCTGAAGCAGTAGCCCACAGTGGAGACAATTAAGATGGCTTCTCCTTGTTTCCTTCTGCTTTCATTTTTTAAAAATGTATCTTTCAATTCATATCCATACCACTCATAGAATTCTGACTAATAGTGATATGATTCACATAGATTTTATTGATTATGTATTGATTATAATGAATTAACGGGATAAGAATGAATAAGAATAAGTGTGGATGTGGTATGATTGTGGAGTGAGGCCAAGAGGCAAAACATCAGGAGACCCGATTGCGCAGAGTGACTATGGGATAAACAACCTAAAAAAAGCAAGGCTAAGGAAAATGACTGTGCAGCAGTTTCAGAGGAAAGTTTTACCCCACAGTTTCTCAGTGAATCATCAAGAGAGCTACTGATTAGAAGCGTATAAGTGTCCTTTGCACGGGGGCATCAGTAGAGACGAATCAACAGAGAAGCTGAGGCAGCGTGTGCTCCACCAGATCTCCAGCCTCTTCCAGCTACTATCAGGGTTGGCCACCTGATAAGTACGCTTGTGTGAGTATGCTTGAAAAGTGGAAAAGAATATCTTGCAATTACATATAAGCGATCTTAACAGCTTTGTCTATTGATATATATATACACAGAATAAAACTAATATAAGGATACTACTTTCATTGTGCCCTCAATCCTTCAGCTCTCCTCTATAAGATCCCCGGAGTGGTCTGATCACCCACTCCAAAAGGGACAGATTTGTAACAACAGTAGGAAAGAATAATGGTGTTCCCTGAACCACATTTCATATTTCCAAGACACATTGATCTTGTGCATTAATCTTGGTCTTCTCCTTTCTTCTTCATTAATCCAACAAAGCTGAAATAAAAAATACAAACCAGAATACCATATGCTGAATATTGTAACACCTGTGTGACAAAGTGCTATCTCTAGCACCCTGGTCACAGAGGGTGCTGTAGCACAGAGAAGGCTGCTGACTTAAATGGAAGCAATAAACCCATTTCTGGTGGGAGGATTACTGACTCCTGGTCCTGGGTAGTAACTGCTGGGCTAATGAGCCAGTTGGCTCAGTAACTGGAAAGAATGGGAAGCCTGGGAGCTGAGGGTAACCTTGGGGAGAAGGAAAGGTGTGTCAGTCTCCTCCAGTTGTATACCAGTGCCATGTTGTTATGCTTGGGAACTGAAGAATAAATGTAGACATGGTGAAAGAGAAGCAACAAATGTGAGTTTCTGACAGAGACCATGAAAACAGGTTAGGCAGCACAGTCCACTGAGTAGCTGATGAGGCATCCTGTGATAACCTACTACTGTAGATCATAAAAAACCATATGCCTGAAAAGTCTTCATTTTACTCCACTGACTTACTACTGAATTTACATTAGTACAATTTCAGGTTAAAATAGTCAATCAGTCCCTTTTCCACTTTTGAGGTTTGAGGATTTTCCACTAAATAATTTAGGAAGGGAATCTACAATATTTTCAAAACTGTAAAGTTAAAAGTCCAATACTCCATTCCTATTACATGCCCTATGTAGCATAACCAATCACAAGGAAGTGGGAGGAGACTCACAACTTCAACATACTTACTACAGTATAGCATATTTACCTACTGGTGCCTCTTTTGCACCAGTTCTTCCTAAAGATGACTTAACCAACCACATGTGGAGTTCCTCTGCCTGTGAGGAGTGCTTGGTTGATCTAAAGCCATCAGAACAGCTCTCTTACACCTTCTCCTCCAACCCCTAGCACTGGGGTTGGAGGTAGCTGAGGAGGAAGCATGACCTGTGGGTGTCTATATCATGGAGATCTAGAGTTGCCATTATGGTCCCTTGAAGCCAAGAACAGCCTCCTTAAAATAGAGCACCCTCAAAGCTTCACCAACATGGAGGCCCAATACCCCTGGAATAAACAGAGAACAAAGGTGACACATTTACTTCTGCAACTCCTATCTTGAAAAGCATGGAGAACAGATCAGATACAGCCCAAGCTTTGGGCCAAAGTTTTTAAGAAAGGTTTTGAGATACTGCATGTAAATTGCTATTGTTTATTCCTAAAACTGCCTTCTGCAGGGAGAATTTAGCATTCCTAGTCCATTAATGTACTTTTCTGCCCAAAATTTTGTATGTTCAGATAATGCCAAATTACTATGTCTCCTTCCATGCTGCATTACTGACGTGGCAGTAATTTCAGGGACAACAGTCTTGTAGGGATATGACATTTATATTAGAGACAGACGGTAGGACATCTGCTCAGTTTTTCACTTGAAGTGAGGATTCAACCTGTTTGCTTTATATGAAGAACACCCACGTTTACAGCATGTAATTATAACTAAAGAGTGACTTGGAGACTCAGAAAACCCAGCCTGACAATTTATAAAATGATAAATTAATTAAAAATGGGGCCTTTAAGAAATAATTATTTTAGTCACCTACACTAACTAAAAACGTGTTGGTAGTAAACCTTCAAATTTTTGAGCTCGAAAAACAGAAATTATTTTATTGCAGTCATGCTTTGATACAATAATATTGTCAAGACCATCTTTATTCATCATGGTTTGATACACAGATGTGGCAGTCATTCTTATAGTATATATACATAAACTCCATTCTGTGGAATGAATAAAATCTGAGTAAAATTTTAATCTCTCTCTCTAGAATGTAGCTTGCACCATGCCAACATTAATTGCAGTTCAGTGATAGCTTTTGGGTATTCTTTTTCATATTTCCCTACTTCTTTTTTAAAATAGTTAAATGATCTTCGTTCAAGAACCCAATTAACATCTCAATCACAAATATCTTTGCAATGTGGGTAAGGATCTAAGGGAAGTCAACAGTTGAAGTGCTGCATTGGTGCAGGTGCACTAATGCAGCTGTGTCATTGCATTGCTTAAATGAAGACCCTTTACACCCATGGGAGATGCTGTAGTTAATCCACTTCCTGAGAGGTAATACCTATGTTATGGCATCAGTGCTGGAAGCATAGGTGACTCATGGTAGCACTTGGGAAGTGCACCGCTCCATGCCCCTACCAAAATTTTAATTGATAAATGGCATGCCCTCAAGCCCCACCCTACCCCTCTGGATGGCCCTCGCTGTACCCCCTCCCCAGCAGGGGCCAATCACTCCTGGCTCTCTCAGTGCTCTATATAAACCACCTTCATGAGGAGAATAGCGAACAGCACTTAGAGTTGGGAGCCTGTTCACACTGGTGCTTTACAGCACTGTAACTTGCTGTGCTTGGGCAGGTGGGGGTGTTTTTTTCATGCCCCTTAATAAGAAAGTTATAGCACAGTAATTACTAGTGTAGACAAGCCTTAGTATTCTTTGTTGCAGGATGGGAGGAGTGAAGCCATTATATTTATTTTATATACAATAATCTTCTGAAAATATCTTCAGCTAACCCTTTCCACTAATGGGATTACAACTGAGTAAGTGTTGTAATGTAGATTTTTGTGTAAAAGGTTTCTGATATATGCAGTCTAAACCTTTGGTAAAAAACGTTAAATATAACAAACAAGGACTTAAAGCTTAAAAAAAAAAAGATAAAATAAAGCAACACCTTTTTTTACAGATTAATAAGTGTCTACTTAACTAGAGCCCATTAATATTCAAACCGAAGTCCTCTATATCAGTGTTTCTCAAAGTGGGCCACAGCGTCCTGTGGCTCCCCTTCGCTGGAATCAATGAACCAGAGCCAATGGCAGGTGCGAGGCTCCATGATGACAGAGCCTTTAGGTAAACAAAGCAATGAGGACCCACTAACAGCTTTCCCAAAGCGGGCCCATGGCCCACTTTGAGAAACACTGCTCTATATTATCCCTCAATTACAAAGTCTCATAAGATTGCTATTCTTATATTTGACAATTAGACTATAATAATCCTGTTAATAAAAATGATTTTGAAACTTCTTAGACATTTATGATCCTAGAAAGAGAATCAATGTTACAAAATATATTTGAAAACAAAAATACTTGATTGATCTTTGGAATCCCTGTGTTGTAGAGTATACATTTGTGCTAATGTGCTGACTACCCTCTGGAAGACTGAACTGGGGACTTCCAGAGCAAAAACCATGAGAATTGAAAACTTCAGTTGAAGATATAGTCTTTGTAGCTAGTAGCTTTCACAGACTCACATTCTTTGTGGCTTGGACACAGAAATGGACATGTTACACACATTGATCAATGGGTTATGTTTATATCCACACACAAGAAGACACTCACCACTTTTGCATCTATGGCCACTTGAGCAAAGCCTGTGCGATTACCCCACAAGAAGTTGTAGTTTTCATCGCTACAGAATGCTTCTCGAGCTCCACCTGGTGCAACACCCAATAAGTTGCCTTTCTTCAGAATTTCTACACATTCTTCTCTTCCACTATGCAGTGCAGGTAGCAAGTTTAAATAAATTTCTACACCTGTAATAAACATAAATAGTAGGGATCAATATGGTACATTAAACTTCATTACATATTTTATTACTTCTACATATTGAAAATAAAATCTAATAAAAACTCAACACATGCACATACACACACTTCAGGATTTTTAATTATGTCTACATATTATTTCATATCTTCATATTATTTCTTCAGATAAAACTGGAGATGTCATAGTCATTGGTAATAAATTTCTTGAAATGTGGTGCTCAGAACTGGACACAATACACGTAACTGAGGCCCAATCAGCACAGAGCAGAAGAATGACTTTTAGTGTTATGGGAATATGACGACTCCTTGCTTTCTGAGGAAGGCTGTGACTATGGCCAGGGTCTTGGAGAAGATATGTGGTGCTGTTGATAGTCCAAAGGTAGGACACAATATTGGTAATGTTCTTTGCCCACCATAAACCAGAGAAACCTCCTGTGGGCCAGGTGTATTGTTATATGAAAGTACGCATCTTGAAGGTAGAGGGATGAGAACCACTTGTCCAGTGCCAGGATGATGGTTCCCAACATTACAATCCTGAACTTGCTGTTACATACAAACTTGTTGAGCTTCCTGAAATCTAAGACTGGCCTTCATCTCACAGTCTATCAAACAGCAGATCTTCCACTTTGGTTTGCAGTTTCCTGGGAATACCAGATGACTGCAGCCAAGAAGTTCAGCACATAACAATCGCCACTGAAGTTGACCGGGTCACCGTATCTGCTATGTCCACTGACACTTAGAGTGCCGTATGGGCAATGGACTGGCCCTCTTTCATGATTGACTGCAGTTGTGGCCTCTTTTGTTCTGGGAGGTCATTGAGCAGCTCCTGTAGCCTGGTTTAATTAGAATAATCATAATTAGCCAGGAGAGCTGTGTAACCGAAATCCTAAACTGGAGTGTAGTTGGGAACAGACTCCTAAAAATATCAAGTCTTTTGTGCTCCTTGTTCTGGGGTGTTGATTTATACTGTGGTTGTCTAGACCTGTGATGGACAGAATCAACAACCAAAGAGTTTGGTTGGGGATGAGAGAAGAGAAAATGCATGTCCTTCACTGGGACAAAATATTTTCTATCGGTTCTGCGGTTGGTGGGTGGATGAGACACTGGTGTTTGCCATATGGCTTCCAATGACTACATAATGGCCTCATTTATAGGTAGTGTAATGTTAGAGGGTGTAAAAGGTTGTAAAATTCTTAACAGCTTGTGCTGATTTTCTTGCACCTCTTCTAAGGGTATGTCTTGCAACTGCACTACTCTTTTGAAAAATTCATGAAATTGTTTCAGGTCATCTGCTGGAGGAGAAGAGGACAGGAATTCTGCTTTGTCAGGGGAGGATGAGGACAGCTGAACTGAAGACTGGCTGTCCGAATCCAATTGCAATAAGTCATCGTCCTGCTGTATTGGACCGGTTTTTTAGCTGATGGTGAGGGTGGAGGATGAGATGGAGAGGACTAAGTAGTTTGTGGGAGAGACTTTTCTGGGGTCTGCATCAGAGTATTTGCAGTCGAGTAACAAGATTGGTGCTGATGAGATGGTCAAAGATGGTATTGGCCCTTTGGTTCCCAGGGTGGCCACTCAGGTTGGTATTGTTGAGGGAGATACGGCCATGGGTGATTGACCCAAGGGTATTGAGGATGATGGTACGAAGGTCTGTGCCTGTTTGAGTGCCATTGGTGACAAGTGCTGGAAGGAAAAACAGCTGTCCTGTCTGGTGTCAGGTCTAGTACCCAGAGATGACAGCGTAGGAGAGAATGAAATATTCTTAGAGGGCCACTGGGGCAGGCTAGGCTCCTCAATTCTAGGAAAATGCAGAGGTATCCTATCCACTGACACAGGTGAGGAGGGAACCGGAGATGGTGATGCTCGGTGCTGGGGGTCTGGTTCACTTGGTTTAGGCTTCGGGGTTTGCAGTGCCAAGGAATGCTTGGGTGCTGCTGGGTCCCAAGACTCACATGGTTGAAGTGCTGTAGTGGGAGCATATTTTTGGGTGCTGGCATTATTGGTGCTGGAGCTCTTTTTGTCAGTGCTGTCTTTAATTTATGTACCGTACCAGATGTTGATGGCACCAGAAAGCGCACAGCATGCAAAATAGACAGCACAGCTGGCAAGGAACATGCCAGAACAGCCCAGGACTTATGGGAATCCTTTATGGGCGATGAGCTAGCCCTTTTTCTCAGTATTACGGGTTCTGTAGGAGCCATTGCCTTGCCTCCTGGTGGCTGAAGAGATTTCTGCCAGAACAAGTTTTTAAGCCTCATCTCCCGGTCCTTCCTGGCCCTGGCAGTTATATTTTGACAAAGTGGGTGCTTATGCACCATAAGGCCTTCACCTAAGCACTTTATACACAAAGCGTGCCCATCTGAGGTGGGCATCGAGTCTCTGCAGGAGTCACATTTTTTAAAACCAAGAGAACCTGGAATAATGCTGTACCAGGGCCAAGAACTTGGAGCAGAAAAACAAACAAGGGGAAAAAAACAGGGAGTAACTTTAAACAAAAAACAGTAACTAACTACAGTAGACTTCCAATAATCCGGAACCTATGGGACCTAGGTGGTGCCGGATTATCAGATATGCCGGACTATCAGGAGGTACTATAAGATGGTTATATATATACACTGTATACATTATATACTGTATATAAAGTGTTCTTAACCCTTTTTATTGTACATACTGTATACAGTATACTGTAATGTTTTAGTTTTTTTAAGCCTTTTTTGCCCTTTTTGCTCAATTCAGCTGCTGCCGCTGTTACCTTGTGACTCATTTTTTGCCGAAGCTCACTCACTAGGCTCTTGCCATTTTGATGCTGGACTATCAGGAGTGCCGGACTATTGGATGCCGGACTATTGGAGTTTTATTGTAACTACTAACAATAAACTGAGTAAAACTACAAACAACTAATTAAATTTTCCTTTTTTTCCTCAGCTGAGGAGAGCACTGCCGGAAACTCTGTCATCACCAGCTTGGTAATGGATGGACCAGGCACCCTTGGAACAAGGAAGGATAAGGGAGACCCAGAATGTAGGGAGGTTGGGGGGCTACTCCAGCGGGTAAGGTACTCATCTCCAGAGCCAGAGGTCCAGGGCTCAAGCCCCACCTCCCACCCTTCTGGGACAGCCAACCCAGGCTCCCAAAGGACATAGGACAGATTAGGGGGTCCAGAATGTAGAAAAGAAACTGAGGGACACTTGCACCATGTGCACAGCTGACGGATGAAAACAGAGTGAGATGGCTGCTGCACATGTGCACTGTGGGAAGACACTGCTAGGTGAAAAACCTCCAATCAGTGGTGAGACTACATGCCAACACCTGAGTGGAGCCACCCACAGGGACACCACTCAAAGGAGAACAAGTGAGATTCTGCAGGGGTCAGTTTGGGACCAGTTCTGGTCAGTATCTTCATCAATGATTTAGATGATGGCATAGAGAGTAAGTTTGCAGATGATACCAAGCTAGGAGGGGTTGCAACTGCTTTGGAGGGTAGGGTCATAATTAAAAAAGATCTAGATAAACTGGAGAAATGGTCTGAGGTATGTAGGATGAAGTTTACGAAGAACAAATGCAAAGTACTCCACTGAGGAAAGGAACAATCAGTTTCACACATACAGAATGGGATGTGACTGTCTAGGAAGGAGTACAGCAGAAAGGGATCTAGGGGGTCATAGTGGACCACAAGCTAGATATGAGTCAACAGTGTGACACTGTTGCAAAAAAAGCAAACATGATTCTGGGATGCATTAACAGGAGTGTTGTGAGCAAGACATGAGAAGTAATTCTTCCGCTCTGCTCTGCACTGTTTAGGCCTCAACTGGACTATTGTGTCCAATTCTGGGCACCACATTTCAAGAAATATGTGGAAAAATTGGAGATAGTCCAGAGAAAAAGGTTTTGAAATCTTGAACTAGAATGAAATTCAAAAGACCACAGAGTTTCTCAAATGTTTGAAATTATACAATTTTCTGTAGTGCATAACTGGAAAACCTTTTATTTTAGTCTTAATAGTTGTCATAATTAATGTATAAGTATCATGGTGTGAATTCACATTTCTGAATTTAAAATATTATAAACTCTCTTTCAGAATAAAAAATACTTTACCTGGTAACATAGCAATGAAGTGATCAACTACTGAGTAGCAGACTCTTCTCTTCTGTATGTAGAGATTATAGATAAAGTAGCAGTAGTCTATAGGAACGGGTCCATGGTAATAAACTATAAGCCCTGGCCCTTCTGGAATTTTTTCCATACCATGAAGTTCATAACCTGTCAAGAGTATAAAGTACAATTATTTCAATACCAGCTTGATACCAATACATTTAACATAAATTCCTCAAGAGAGATGTAGAAACTCTTGATTATATGAGAGAAAATTGCACCATGAGTAAATTTTAGCATTACAATTAACTCTTGCTTAAGAAAGCTGAGTTAGTTTGTAACTGGAAAAACTTAAAAACAATGAATAGTTTAGCAGCAATTTAAAGTCTAACAAAACATGTAGATGGTATCATGAGCTTTCATGAGTACACAAAAGCTCATGACACCATCTACATGTTTTGTTAATCTTTAAGGAATTAACTCTTGGTTCTGACAGTCAAACATTTCACTTTGAAGTCAAAATGCAGTGAGAAAAGGGCATCATTATTCTTGATCTCCTGCATCACTGCACCAAATGCCCATAGAGGCATCAAGTATTGGTGCCACCTTGGGCCACTGTTATTACAGGCAGTCCCCGACTTACGCGGATCCGACTTATGTCGCATCCGCACTTACGAACGGGGCTTTCTCGCCCCGGAGGTCGAGGTGGCGGATTGCTACCTGCGAGCTCCGGGGCGAGAAA